TTTTTCTCGAATCTGTGCCATAGATTTTTTACCACTACGAAGAATTTTTTTCATGGAGACAAAAAGTTGGCTGTGTTGGTACGAAATGCGACAGTGACAGAATTTTTTTATTTTTTATGTGATACGTTTCCAATTGTAAGTATTTCTTTACGTGTGTGTTCATTGGAATTTCAAACTAATTGAGGAGCTGTCTATGATTTTGCATGAGATTCGCTTATAATTTTTTAAGGGAATGCGTAGATTTGTATCAATATCATCGTATCCTACCTATACCTTATTGAGTGATGTAAAGTAAATGTGATGCCGTGTATCCTTGCATCAACTAACACTGTAGCTATTGAACAAAGCAACGCAACCATGGCATGTGAGCCTGAATGTAACGCAAAGGAATGAGTCATGTCGTTTGATCATTCTCATTCTAATTTACATCATGTAAGCGACGGTTGATCTGTGGTCAACTTTGGGTCGACTTCGAAACGGAATGTGTTTTGTGCATGCAGCGAAGATGTGAAATTTTTTAAATTTGAACAGCCACGTGCCATAGTAACACCACTCAACCCTTCAAGAGTGAAAAATATTTACTTTTTAAATTTTTACATTGAATTTGTAGTTTCAAGAAGGTGATGAAAGAATAAATGTAAACATCTGATATTTTCAATGCAAAACATTCGATGTGAAACGCGAAATTAAACACACGTGCACAGGTGAAATTGTAATTCCATCAATTGTTCTGACATTGTTATCTTGAAAAATGTGTGCGATAATATTTTGTGGGCTTTAATTAGAATCGTCATTGCACGTGGATTGAATCATACAGTGTGTTGCCCACCGACGTGGCCGCACTTGAAAGTATATAAGAGGATGCGTTCGATTCGCATTTCCATCAAACAGTTCTTACCAATTGATACGTTCATAGTAAACTTCTAATAGTTCGAAGCTAGAAAAATGCTGAGCCGAAGTTCTTTCACACTGCTGCTCATTGGCTTGATGGTATCCGAGGTGAGTCGACAATTTCAGTCGATTTTTTTTATATTTTTCATGTTTGATACTTTTCGTGGACAATTTGTGATAATTTTTTCTGAAACAGGAAACTAATATTTTATTAAAAACAGTTAATAATACATAATGTATTAATCTCATCCGTTGTTCCCATTCCAAATGTATCACTTTGATTCAATTTCCACAGTTCTTAATCGGGGATGTGAGCGGAGCACCACCCGGGAGGAACGGTAAGATTGAAGTTTCATTTATTTATCCAGTTTAACTCTTAAATTCTATATACAAAGCACCTTGTAACGAAGAAATGGGAACCTCATTTATGCTAAACTTTTCATACATATTTTAGTAAACGAAAAAGACATGTATGGAGAGACAGCTCTGCATAGAGCTGCTTTTGCTGGTAATTTTGGACATTTTTTTTTATAAAAAAGAATGTTTTGCTCAATCCGTTTCATTGATCTATGAATATTTTCCATATTCTTTCAGGCAAAGTGAAGGAAGCTGAAGACCTCACCACTGAAGGAGCCGACCCTAATATTGGAAATAATTTTAATGAGACAGCTCTGCATTATGCTGCTAAGAGAGGTAACGTTGAATACTTATTGTTATTGAATAAAAGATTGACCTGATTTTATCCCATCGATCGGTGTTATTGTTCAGGTCACAAGAGTGTCGCCGAACTTCTCATCCACAAAGGAGCCAATCTTGACAGTGAAACTAATACGAAAGAGACACCTCTTCATTGTGCTGCTGCCCATGGTAATTTTGAATGCTCTTTTCGAGTACTATGCGCATTAGTATTGCTTAGCAGCAAGCATTGAATATGCTTCGGCCAATAGACAAGCATATCGCGATGCAATACAGTTGACATCACACCAGAGCGGAAAATAAGAGAAATTGAGAACTGCCCAAAAAAAATTTTTGGAGAAAAATCGGCATATTGTAAATGTAATGAATGAACAACAAACCAGTGTCTATGAAATGGAGATTAAAATTAAACATTATTGTCCAATCAATTCCATTATTATTTTTCACTTGGTGCATAGACAAACCAATCAGAACGTTTTGTTTACTTTCGTGTGTGTCGTCAGTGCTCTTTTCGTCCGATGCATTCGATTTATTTGCGAGTAGTGCTGCAACGGATGGGTGATTTTTGTCATCATTTTCCTTCAGTTTTTTGGCTTTGGGTGGTGAAATTGTTTTGTATTTTTTTCACTTTGAATTTTAAATTAATACTGATTTTCTACTCAGTGATTGACTGATTTTTCTACATCAAATTACAGAAAATGTGGTTTTGTGGTTATGTGATTATAGAAGTTGAATTTTACAACATATTGAAAAGTTTGACATTCAACGCATTTTTCTTATGTCATACTGTTATTATTATGTATAATGACAACTAGGATCGTCACTAGTAAACTGACACACAATAATTACATAAATTACATTTTTGATTATTTTGAATCCAAAAACCGCGGTTTAAATTTGTTAAAAATGCATGTTTTTGAACTGCCCAAAACCAACATTAGAACTGCCCAAATAGCTTCAGAACTGCCCGCTATTTTACGCCCTGCATCACACACAACTGCCGCGTACACAACTATCGTGCAAACAAACGTCGCATGTGCAGCCATCGCAACCAACTCACACACAAAACCGACTAGCATACATACACGGGTGTCAGAGTTGTGTGTGATGTGTACTAAATGGGAAATTGGTTTAATTTTTTCATTGATCCGTATTATTTAAGGTCACGGAGGTGTCGCTGATGTGCTTCTCAAGAATGGAGCTAACGCCAATATTGGAAATGATTTGAATGCCACAGCTCTTCATTTAGCTGCTGACTATGGTAATGTTGAATACTTGTTTTCATTAACACTATGATTGTTCTTGGGGCACCCAGGGCCCCCAGCGAACTTTAAAGTTGAATAAAAGTACTAAACAGTGTATAAACCAACCGGAGTTAAGTCTCATTGTATAGATTGAACATTTCCCTACACGAATGAAAAAAAAAACATATGCATATGTGTGAGTATGTGTAAAATACAGCCTGCCGCAAAACATGTTACGCTGTTGTTCTTGGGGGACCACAGGGCCCCATGGCTATTTTATATTATAGCTGGACTATGATAAGAGATATCGACTTGGTGTCTATGACGAAGTTGTAGTACTCAAGCTGCTCTACAACTTCGCCATAGACATCAAGTCGTTATCTCTTATCAGTTACGCGAAAAGCCGCGAAAACGTGAAAAACGCGAATTCATAGTTTCTCACTTTTCAAGGAACTGATAAGAGATAACGAGGTGGTGTCTATGGCAAAGTTGTAGCTCTGGTCGAGTACTACAACTTTACTACGACAATAAGTCGTTATCTCTTATCAGTTACGCGAAAAATGATAAGAAAAAAATCGCGTTTTTCACGGTTTTCTGCGGTTTTTCGCGTATTCCGCAAAACTGATAAGAGATAGCGAAATAGTGTCTATGGCAAAGTTGTAGTTCTGGTCAAGTACTACAACTTCACTACAGACACTAAGTCGTTATCTCTTATCAGTTACGCGAAAAAATGATAAGAAAAAATCGCGTTTTTCACGGTTTTCGCGGCATTTCGCGTAACTGATAAGAGATAACGACTTGGAGTCTATAGCGAAGTTGTAGCACTTAAGCTGCTTTACAAGTTTGGTATAGACACCATCTCGTTATCTCTTATCAGTTTCGCGGAATACGCGAGAAACCGCAGAAAACCGTGAAAAACGCGAATGTTTTCTTATCATCTTTTCGCGTAACTGATACGAGATAACGACTTGGGGTCTGTGGCAAATCATAGTACTCGACCAGAGCTACAACTTTACCATAGACACCATCTCTTTATCTCTTATCAGTTCCGTGAAAAATGATAAGAAAAAACGCGTTTTTTTCGCGGTTTTCAGCGGTTTCCCGCGTATTCCGCGAAACTGATAAGAGATAACAAGATGGTTTTCGGCAAAGTTGTAGAGCAGCTTGAGTACTACAACTTCGCCATAGACATCAAGTCGTTATCTCTTATCAGTTACGCGGAAACCGCGAAAACCGTGAATTTTTTCTTATCATTTTTTCGCATAACTGATAAGAGATAACGACTTGGTGTCTGTGGCAAAGTTGTAGTATTCGACCTGCTCTACATTTCTGTCGGAGAGGCAAGTCTCTTACTTTTTATCAGCTTCACTAAAACGATGTCGGAAAATTTTGCGATTTTCGAGTTTTTTCGCGTTTTTCGCGGAACTGATAAGAGATAAGCAATATTTGTTGCACCAAAATTATAGCAAACTTTGAGTATTACAACTTTGCTTCAGACACTAATTTGTTATCTCTTATCACAGTCCAGATTTCATATGAAATATCTTGGGGGCCCTGGAGTCCCCCAAGAACAGTAATATATTGCAAATATGAAGAACAGTCATAGTGTTAAATAAAAGATTGATTTGATCTTTTCCATCGATCTGAATTATTTTTCAGGTCACAAGAGTGTCGCCGAACTGCTCATCCACAAAGGAGCCAATGTTGATAGTGAAACTAATACGAAAGATACACCTCTTCATTATGCTGCTGCCCATGGTAATTTTGAATACTTTTTTCGAGTACTATGCGCATTAGTATTGCTTAGCAGCAATCATTGAATATGCTTTGGCCAATAGACAAGCATATCGCGATGCAATACAGTTGACATCACACACAACTGCCGCGCATACAACTATCGTGCAAACAAACGTCGCATGTGCAGCCATCGCAACCAACTCACACACAAAACCGACTAGCATACATACACGGGTGTCAGAGTTGTGTGTGATGTCTACTAAAAGGGAAATTGGTTTAATTTTTTCATCGATCTGAATTATTTTTCAGGTCACAAGAGCGTCACTGAAGTTCTCAGCCGTAAGGCAAACGATCTTAATATTAAAAATAATTTTCATCAGACACCTCTTCATTTGGCATCTATGCATGGTAAGGTTGACTTAATCAGATATCCCGTCGATCTCTTTCATTGATCCGTATTATTTTAGGTCACGGAGATGTCGTTGATGTGCTTCTCAAGAATGGAGCTAACGCTGATATTGGAGATGATTCGAATACCACAGCTCTTCATTTAGCTGCATTCAGTGGTAATGTTGAATGCTTGTTCTTATTAAAGAAACGATTGATTTGATCTCTTTCATTGATCCGTAATATTTTAGGTCACGGAGATGTCGTTGATGTGCTTCTCAAGAATGGAGCTAACGCTAATATTAGAGAGTTTTTGAAGCATACACCTCTTCATTATGCTGCTATACATGGTAATGTTGAATAGTTATTTTCACAAAATAAAGAATCGGTTTGATCTTTTTCATCGATCCAAAATATTTCTAAGGTCACGAAAATGTTGCTGAACTTCTCATTAACAAAGTCGCCAATATGGATGTCATGGATAATTTTAATCATACACCTCTTCATTATGCTGCTAGGAATGGTAATGTTGAATAGTTATTTTCACAAAATAAAGAATCGGTTTGATCTTTTTCATCGATCCAAAATATTTCTAAGGTCACAAAAATGTTGCTGAACTTCTCATCAAAAAAGGAGCCAAAGTTGATGTAAGAAATTTTGTGAATCTAACACCTCGTCAGTTAGCTGTTAGCCATGGTACTGCTGACTATATTAAATACCGCTTTGATCTTTTTCATTGATCTGTATTATTTTTCAGGTCACAATAATATTGCAGAACAATTGGAATAGATTTAATATGCTGCCAACAATGGTAATGTTGAATATTTTACTTTTCCGTACACTTTCCGCACGTTAAGGGAATTGAAATGGAAAGATTTTTTCAATCTCAATTAAATTTTAAATAAAACACCTTAAAGTGACTTTGCTTTTTCAAATTTCAAACATAAATCAATATGATTATTTATTTATAAACGAAATTTTGGTTCGGATGCATTTCGACATTTGTCATCCTCAGCGGGTATCAAATTACACTGGACTCAGCTCTCTGTTTGCGATTGTGAGTGAGAGAAAAAAGAAGAAAAGTATACACAGAAAGCAAAACATGTAACAATGTGTTGTGGTGCGAGCGCACGCCAAAAAATTACAACAACTAAAACAACAAAACTCGGTGTGAACACACAAAGGCACAACAAACCTCAAAATGAGACCCATTCGATTTTGATTGGCTTCAAATTTTCTGAAATTTCATTTTTTTGTGAAAAAATGAAATTCTGAAAGTTTCACGTTGATCGCGATTCACATTTGCATAAGTTTGGTTTTTGGCCCTCAATTTTTTCTTGAAATTTCCTTGAAATTTATTTTGTATGGGATGTGTAATCGATTCCGATTGACTTCAAACTCTCAGATTCTTATTTTTTCGCCATAAATCTTAGAAAGTTTAAAGCCATTCGGAATCGATTTACAAGTACCTCCCATACGGAATTGTCGAAATTTCGACTAAAATGACCGATTTTCACTGAAAATATGCATTTTCATACAAAATATAAAAAAAA